CCGACAGTCAACCACCTTCACATATAACAGTATTAAGTTTGATCATTAGACTTTTGAATAAAAATATGTTCATTACATTATCAAATCGATATGTTATAGTAAATGGACTTTCGGGTAAGTTAGAAAATTTTATAAGTTCAGACTGTGGGTACTATTAAAACAGTTTGATAACTTTACACCAACAAGAGCTAGTACAGCCAGTGCGATTAGGGTTGATGTGTTTGCAACAATATCAAAGAGTCGGTAGACAATATACGTAAGGATGGGCAAGGTACTCAAGAGGCATAATACAAATATGTACGCTAAAAATCAACAACGACAGAGAGTTTTACTTTAAAAGATGATTGCCACTCACTTTCATTTGTTTCTCTACCAAAGAAGCCCACAAACAAGGCATGAAACCATCGCTAAAATAGCAAACCAGAAAGTGACCATCCCACTAAATTGTTCATATTTCTTCTTGTTGTGTCAGTCGAGATAACTCTACAACTACTTTATCACAGGTTTCAGACGAATCCACTCTGTGTGTTTCTTTAGAGTGCACGATATCATGGCTTAGTCGTAGTAAATAGTAGCAATTGAAAAAAAACAACTTACATTTCTAGTGCAAACGATGTTATCCGTTGAAGTTAGCTTTTTTTTACAGAAATTTGTTTGTCCTGTAAAAAGATGATATACAGGGTAAAAGAGGAGTTAATAGCCAATAATAGATGAGTATTAGATGACTCTAAGACGTAGAATACTCAATGCTTTGTACTCTAAACAATCGTTGTCTTTAGGGAGCGAATCCCTATATTATGTATGAAGCGAAGGAGTAAAAAAAAATTGTACACATAATATTAAGTTTTATTACACATATTCATATAATTCACAAACTTTCAGTGAAAGGAAAATGTCACAAAACAAGCAATAAAAAATTCGAAATATAAAATGATGTAGGGATGGCAGTACCAAAAAGAATTCCAATAAGAATATAGAATGATATAGCTATACATAGATCATCCGTAAATGACTTTCAATATCAAAATTTAATGTCGTACAGTGAAATGCATACATTACTTTAATATTACTGCAGTTGGAAGTTAGCTATTCCTGGCTGTTGGTATGCAGTTTGTTTTTCATAATATTATAGTCACGTCAGTGTAGACATCAATGTAGTGTAAGTAAGAACCTAAGACTTTCGCACAATGAAAACCAAATTGAGTCAAAGCATGAAAAAACATTTTATACTCGTGTATTTTACAGAGTAACCGTAAATTTTGATAGTGAAAGTAATATAGGACTGATCTAATTATGGCTACATCATCCTTATATTTTTGGTACTGCCATCCCTACATCATTTTACATTTACAAAATGTTTTTTATTACATGTATTCATTATGGCCAGTAGCAGTGTAGGTGTATCAACAAGGCTAAAAGTAATTCAGAATGTGTTATTTATAAGAACTAGTAAGCCCCGTATGTTAAGTGCCAATCCACTGGTATTAGTAAGAATAATCTGAAAAAGGTTTAGTTGTAAGTGCTACTAAAATGATTTTCATTAGGAGTAGCCTTCAAGTACTAACATGGTCAGTATGATTACTTATGACATAAACGTTTTATTGAACTCAATGTGGTTATCAGTTACGTATTTAATTAATATGATACTAAAGTTATCTACACATGTTAGAAAAATCCTTTGAGTTTAATCTTAACTGTGAAATAATCGACACTTAATGAATGTTACAAGTTTAATATAAAAAACTGATAACAAAATAACAATTAAAGATCTAAGGAAATTATCCACAACAAACTCTTATACTTAATATGCTGTCAAATACCCTATTCGTTTTTACATGTGATACTTCAGCAAAAGAATCTAAAAATTAACATATTTTATTAAATTCGTATATACATATATGGAGGTTATCAATAATTTCTCTAATCATATAATTTCCAGGAAAGGAATCAAGACCAGTCATTCGCACCTAATTGTATTTGTGTTTTTCTGTACGTAGTTTACCACTGATAACTAAATTTAGTAACAGTGTGACCTTGTTTAAAGAAAGTGTCTCAACTACTTGACTCATAGTAAAGTGTCCTTCGCAGAATCATATATAAGCTGTGAGATTAGCGGCGAGTCTCAGTTTCAGATTATTCATCGTCTAGTACAAAACGGTGTAGTAAGTATACGCTTGTCTATTTGTGTAAATTTCTCTGATTCTAAAACCAGATTTTAGTTCAGATTGGAAAGGAGCCTAAAAGTACTTGTTTTAATCAAAGATTGTACAAAAGGCTTAAATTTTTGAGACTTTATAAGTGATATAAGAAATTTTGTGTTTTACTTTGGCAGTTTGTAATATTTAGAACTTCAGGTAATTGGACCTAATTTGAATGTTTAAGCATTTTATAAAATCTTAATATCTAACGAACATCAGAGACATGACGAAAAAATCATGGCTTTATTACAAACCAATAGTAAAGCATATATATATATTTACTGACATACCGTCTTTAATCTTTATTAATGTTTCCTATGATAAAAGGAAAATATACGACAAACGGCTGAACTCTTTGAATGCCGTTAATGTGGCTTATTTTCTAAAATGACTTGCACAAACCGTTACGAAGTAAATTGACAAATACAAATTAGATAAAAGACCATAGAAATTAATTGGTCAGAGAATTTTTTTTTCATGAGCTAAAATAACACATCTTATATCTATGATCGTTATTTATGACATGGAATATTTCACTTCATATTTTTGTTTTCAGTGAAACTTTCAACAATGAAGTTAGTACTTTGCTTTTTCATTTTGTTCGTTCTTGTGGTGATCAGTCATGCACAATATCTGCAACACTGCAACCGTTGTGGAAGTCTAAACTTGCAACAACGACGGGTGTGTTGTAACAGCGGATTTACCCAGTGTTGCCGAATTCGTGTACCCCCTGACCAAACTTTTCCAGGATCAGGCGCCCCAGGACAAGGCGGCTATCCAGGCAGTTCTGGCGGCCTAGCCCGTAAGTTTTTGTTTGTTTGTTTTTATGAAATCACTGATTTTCTGTTATCCCCATACATAATTTAATTAAAAACGTTGATTATTGGCTCAAATAAACAATTTTTAGTTCAAATTAGTAAGTGTGCCTCCAATTTATATGATAAGTTTTCTGTTGTTCTGAGTAAGCTAGTGTTGTTTTCAAGTGCATGTAATATAAACCAGATATATCTTTATTCTTTTCCATTTTACTTATTTTATTGTATAAGATTTTGTACACTTTAAAGGAAGAGAATATATTTAATACTAAGATATGAAACTTTTATCGAATACCCCTGATATATGTGATAAATATTTTTTACATTTTCTCTATTTTCAATATTAAACAACAAATGAGTAAACATAACATTTAAGACCATTTTTTCTTCTACAAGACATGGTAAGGAAGAATTACTTTCGGTTCTAGAACTGACCAGCTGGACTGCAACTAGAGAGAGAGAGAGAATAGTTTATTTGAAACTTTATTTTTTGGAATTCACAAATTAACAAAACAATATTCGTATCAAAAAGTAAACATCTCAGAGATTTTTTGTGACAAATATTAGGTGTATGGTAACTCTAAAGTTTAATATGTTAAATCAAGAAAATAGATCATTAACAGTTTTATGTAATTAGTTTTAACATCAAGTGTGCGAGTCAATGGGAGTGAGTTTGGGCTTCAGAGGGATGATTGAGTTTTCAGGTTAATAAAAAAACGTACTCTTAGAAATTAATCGATCTGTTAAGCTAAAAAAGTCACATTTACTGCTAAAAGAATTCACTTCTCAATAGGCTACAAATTTCTGGAGTTTAGGGGTTGGACGAACTATATTCCTCTTGCACAAAATAGTAGAAGTGTTCGTATTACCTTAGTTACCTTACAGTAGCAAATAAGCTTCGTAGAGCCACATCTATCGGCCATATCTATCAATAAAATTTGCGAGACCTTGGGAGAAAATGACTGTATAGAGTTGAGGAACCAGATCTTGTACTTTACAATATGTAAGTCAAATATCGTGCTTTGTTGCTTTCAAATACAGAAATAGATATAGCTCCAGATATAGTAAGCAATTTAAATCTCTATCAATCATTTTTTATAAAAAGTGTTGAGAAAGAACTGGAAAACACTTTGGGAATCAACCCACTATACATCCATGGCTGACTCGTAGACTGAGTGTTAACGAGATGTAAAGAAAGCTATTTATTGAAACTTTTATAACTTCGTACAGATGTTCATTTTAAAAATGTTCTCAAAAGTTTTCTATCAACTGGACTCACCAAGTACACTTTTCACAACAATTATCCAAAGAAAATCAGTTTATTACCACAGTGTTATTTACAATTTTGAAAATATAGAACCTGGTATTCCGAACTATTATGCTACTGGTTCTGCTGGATTCTATCCTGGTGGTACTGGAGGCAGCATTGGTGTCTATCCTGGTGGTGTAGGAGGTACCGTCGGTGTGTATCCTGGAGGTACTGGAGGTAGCGTTGGAGTGTATCCTGGTGGCGGATATCCTCAGCCTCTTCCTAACGTACCTCTTGGGGGTGACGTTATTTTACGGAAAAAACCCGCAGCCTCCGAGTAACAAAATTCATAAAACATAAAATTCAGAGTCTAATTTGTAAGCAAATAAGATTTAAGAACTTTGCAAGTATTGTTTAAGATGTTTATAATAAATGTATTTCTATGTGACCTTTACGCTTTGTGTCATTCCTTAAAGAGCAAATGATATTTTACACCTAACTCTATGTTTTCCAACCCTAAATATTTAGTGGAATTAAAATGTCTCACGTCAAACAATGCTCTTAAGTAATTCATTAATGTAGTGGAAATGGCACTCACGGCGAAATACATATATGTAGACCTTATTTTCAACAAAACTTCACGTTTTCAAAATATAATCCTTAAAAGGACGCACTGCTACGAAACACATCAGAAGGTATTTACTTTTAGCAAGGCAAGAAACAAGGAATATAATTGATTCAAATTTCTCTGGATAGTTCACATTCAATCTCAGATGAAGCCTAGCCTCAATCAGAATTATTTATTAGTAAGTATGCCAAGTCGACGAGCCGAAAACCTGATTGTTTATCGGTAATATCATAGTTTTGTTTGTTTGTTTGGAATTAAGCACAAAGCTTCACAATGGGCTATCTGTGCTCTGCCCACCACGGGTATATTCCAAGTAAGAAAACCTCTTCTTCTCTAACTTCATCTCCCATCTATGAATGGGATATAAACGGGATATATATCTACTTATATATATAGATACTTATAGATATATATATCTACTTGATGAAACTATCTCCAAGAAATTAAAAACTATAATCAGGAAATCTGTAGAATGGCCATTTCTAGCCCTAAAAAGTCAACAGTCTCGGTACATTACTCTACAATGTAGTCTACCCTCATTGACATAGATTTTAATGGTAAAGATTAATTTCCATTATTTACATCGATAGGATTTTAAAATTCTATAGTAAAGTTCTCTAAAAGCACGCTATCTTTAGAAGCTAAAACAATTAGTCTTGTCATTTATGAAAATATAATTCTCGTTGAAACATTCATTCGGTTTTTGAGTAAATATATATAACACTTCATAAGGACTATAACAAACATTTCTTTATTTTATACAATAATATCTACATTTTACTGACATAATTCGTTATAGAAAACTCGAATTGCACCTAATTTCGTTTTCACTTGATCATTTGATCTTAAAGTTACAAAAGGAAAATTATCTAGTTTGTTGGAGGCAAGATATATCTATTCTCGCCGACATGCATATCGATTTCAGTATTGCGGACCTTTTAGCAAACTTCAAAAGTGTCTAGCTAGAGTTAATCCTGGTATTAACACAGTGGGTAAAGTATGTAAGAAATATGATATTGCTGACAATAAATCATCAGCTACAGCTGATAGAAATACTGCACAACAAGAAGTGGTAGAAGATTTGAATGCTGTTGAAGATCCAACGTTAAGTGAAGCAATTGCTAGGAGATTTATAAAACAATTATTACAGCTAAGAAAACATTCGATCTCGGCATTTCATCCATTATATATTATTTAAAAAATATAACAAAAATGGACACAGACAATATTCAAGAACCTACCTCAAATAATGGAAAACCTATGAGTAAAGAAAATTATCTTTTTGTCTGAAAATCTAGAAAAATTTGAATTTGAGTGATTATTATACAATTTGATGGAATGGGTATTACAGAATCGCTGTTAACAAACTTTTAACATTAAAAAGCATAAAGCAGTTCATTATATATCGGATTACCTAAAAAGATGCAATATAAAAAAAGCTTTAATATGTATTAAAAATGAAAGTCAAGAAATATTTTATGTATTCTTCATCAGCATATTTGCATCCAGTAGATAGCAAAAATCACAATACATGATGAATTATTAACATCAAGAAATCAGAGCAAATGAAATTCACGCTACAACTATGAAACCCAATAGATGGCAAGAAAATACACGAATCCTTACTGCACTAACACTGACGTGGAGGGAAGAATTGCCCTTTTCAACAACAGAATATGGTAATTTGATGACGAGGAGCCAACTTTGAGACTGATAATGGTTGGAGACGGCTTGAATGGGTAATGAAGAAAAACTTTAATATAAGGTTAACATAACAGCAAATGTACAAAGTTTCGACAAGGTTTAGTCATCATTATTAGAATAAGGTAATGACACCTAGTTCATTGTGTCAATTTACAAGTCTCTTTTAACATTTCAAAAGTCCTAAGAACCAAAATATTAAAACATGCCCAATTCTGGGAGAAAAGATGTGTTTTGACAAAAAGTCACTAAATGCTGAAAATTCTGTTGAACTTCACTTTATTGGTCGAATTTGAGTAAAATAAAGTATTTGATAAGATATTAAGATGCATTAAAATCCATTAAGCTAAATATATTTATTTCTTGCTCAAAAGTTGAATTTTGTTCAATAATCATGAAAAAATGAAAATTTTAATTCATTCAAAAGAACTCTGCTTTATAATGGTTGGAGCCGTCTCCAACCATTATTAGACTCAAAGTGGGTTCCTCATCATCGAATTTGAACTATGCCTTACCTTGAACAAACTGCAAGGGGAACAAAAGTTTGCAGACTATCAGTTTATAAGTGTATTTTATAACATAAAAGCTGTTCGAGTTATAAATTTATAAAAATTGGGTGTTGGAGGGATGCTATGATAAATAACACAACAAATCCTAACTTTCACACAATTTATTTATAACATAACATATTATTACGGAATTCATTATTACCTCACCAAGAGTTTTACATTAGCTTTAAGAACTCAATATATATATATACAGTATATATATATATTGAAAACGTGGTATACACTGTCAACGTGAATATCTAGGAAGAGGTAGCAGTGAAAGTGTAGGCTGTAGGGGTTCTTTCAACACCTAGCTTTTAATTTCCTTCCACAATGTTTCACATAATTAATTAATTGAAGGTCATTGGCTGCAAAAGCGTATTGCGGGCCCAAGTTGAAAGGTCATGGGTCAAAGTACTAAATGGGTGTAACTCAAGAAATAGTTCTTCATATCAGCATTATGGTGGTTGTTGGAAAAGGAACTTCATCTGAGTTTATGTAGCATTCCAACTGTGGCGGCCATTTGTTTCATTGCATTCCTCCATCGAGAGCCCCCACCTCCTACCCCGTGGCACAGCGGTATGTCTGCGGACTTACAATGCTAGGATCCGAGTTTCGATACCCGTGTTTGGAAGAGCACAGATAGCCCATTGTGTAACTTTGTGTGTAATTACAAAGAAACAAATCCTCTGTAGAGAGTTCTTGCGCACTTTTTTGAGATATGTAAGACGTTTGTGTGCCCTCATATTGTGGATGTTGTTTTATATTTTAATAAATGTTTTATTTGTTTATGATGTAAGGACGTGGCGCCATTTATAAATGTAATTAAAGTTATTTTACGTCAGAGATAACAAATGCTCAATAACAGCAATAATGGGTTGTGATCCCACTTCTATAACCTCTTATCTATATACATATATAAAGCATAAAATCTGTATCTGTGTGTTTGTACGTTATCCAACTACTCCGAAGTCGCTGGGCCAATCTACACGAAGTTTTGTAGGATGATACTTTTGAACAAGGAGGGATGTTAATGGGAAGAAAAGCTAATTTCCCTCAATTAGGAGAATTTTTCTAGATTTTTAAAATTTTGAATTGGTTATTAATGTGATATCCATTGCCTAAGTTGAATAAATGTATTTTTTATTTTGATTTATTTACTATACCTTACATACAAAAGATAGATAGCTCTTGAGATTGTTAAAAATTACTAAGTCTGAAAAATTCTTAAAGGAACATCAAATCAATGAAAATCAGTAAGACATGCGGAATAGCGAGTTACAACTATGTAGGCGCAATTCTTTAATTATACCTATTCTTCTTAGGAGGCTTTGTTTTATAACTATTAGTAGTAAAACACGCCCAGGAGCATACGGGTCTTTACCGACCATGTTTAATTTCGCATCCTTATACCGCCCCCCCAGTGGCACAGCGGTATGTCTGCGGACTTACAACGCTAGAAACCTGGTTTCGATACCCGTGGTGGGCAGAGCACAGATAGCCCTTTGTGTAGCTTTGTGCTTAACTTCAAATAAACAATAAACAAATCCTTATACCCTGACTTATCCCTCAAGTTCCCGACTTGTTTTGTTTTAGACTATTAACTATTGGTGGGGGTCCACATACTACATCATATCGAGTAATTTTATGTTTTTGCTTGTTTCAAGTGTTAATTGGCCATGGTGAGAATTTCAAATTGAGGGTAGGTTGGTCACATAGATTCACTTATAAATAATCCTGCCTAAAACAATTTAAAGTTCTGCGGTTATTGAGGATCCCCTCTTGTTGTTTATTGGAATAGTTCGTAAAAACTATTAAACCATAATTTTATCTTGCCATAAAAATACACTAAAAGAGTTACCAGACAAGATACTTAGGGAAG